TGCAGGCAAATTTCAAAAAAGACTTGCAACATGGTTGTGTTACCCTTGCGCGTCCTCATGCTTGGGCTTTTTCTCGATGACTCGACCTGCCGGGCCATAATGTAGCTAACTTGCCTAAATATTGAATTTAGATGGGATCCCAATTTAGATTTCAGTTAAGACGATAAAACAATAAAACAAAAAGGTCTATTAGTTTAGGTATCTATGATTTTTCAACCAATAATGTGTGAGCACAAAAGGATGAATTCGGTGATTTTTATTTCGTAAATGATTCATTTTCCGTGCATTTTTGCTATCAAAACATGGTCCATGCATGCATGCGCACATGACATGCTGAAAAGACTCAAAATATGGAAAAAAACATATTAGAAATATTTGTTTTAAAACCTTCAAAATGAAGAAATATACAGTACTTGCTACTAACTTTTTGGTAAACAATAAATACTGTAGATATCACGTGTGTCGTATGAATTTGTTAAAAAAAAGCAAAAACAAAACCGTGAACGGCAGGATTCGAACCTGCGCGGGCAAAGCCCACATGATTTCTAGTCATGCNCGATAACCACTCCGGCACGTCCACTTCTTGTTATCTGATTCGTTGCTCAATATCTATAATCTATTCAAATCGCATCTCTTTTATACATAGTAAAATTCTTAAATTGGTAAAAAAAAAATATTGTTATACAATTCAAACCATTTTAAGAAAACTGCTAGTTGTGAAAAAAATATTTCCCAAAAAATGCCTTGGGTGAAATTATTTATATAAGTAGTATGATATCTCTTATGTAGATTTGATCAATGACTCAAATGCTACGTAGTCAAAATCAATTTATCCATTTTTTCAATTATAAAGATGACGCCGATTGGCTTCAACATCTCTAACCTTATCTCCATTGTCGTCTCCACCATTGTGTCCTAGATAATCACGAAACTTTTTTTTTTTTTTTTCTAATTCAGTTAATCGAGAAATGGAGGAAATGAAGCCATGTGCCGCTAACTCACCGCCGTTAACGCCGTTAGGGTTCTTGGAAAGAGCCGCCACCGTTTACGGTGACTGCACCTCAATCGTTTACGGCACTAACACCGTTTACACGTGGCGTGAAACTAACCTCCGTTGCCTCCGCATCGCGTCGTCTCTGTCTTCGATCGGAATCGGTAAATCCGACGTCGTCTCCGTCCTCTCTCCCAATACTCCGGCGATGTACGAGCTCCAGTTCGCCGTTCCGATGACCGGAGCGATCTTAAACAACATCAACACGCGCCTCGACGCGCGAACCGTCTCTGTTCTTCTCCGTCACTGCGGATCTAAGCTTCTTTTCGTCGACGTCTTCTCCTCCGATCTCGCCGTCGAAGCCATCTCGATGATGAAAACCGATCCGCCGATTCTCGTCTTCGTCGCCGATAAAGAAGAAGAAGGAGGAAGAGGTGATGACGTGGCAGATCAGAGATTCAGTTACACTTACGATGATCTGATCCAGAGAGGCGATCCGAATTTTAATTG